TGAGAAAAGAAAACGGATCGAAGAGGAGCTTTGGTCTTCACTGCAGTGCTCAATGCTACTGGGAGTATACTACACAAGTTTGGACCACTTCTAACACTATTGCTTTGCATCAGACTTTATGGACAGATAGGGCAGAGGGTCGATTAAGTTCTGGTGCTGATCCCATAAAAGGGCAAGAGGAGATGTATGGCCTCTTACAATATCATTTGAACCACTTAATGGAGCACTGGAATTAATGGCTGTCAGTGCTGAGTCAATTATATGGATATTTTCATGACATATTGTGTATAATTCATTGTTGCACTGACACCAAACAGCCCTTCTGCTTTTGTTTTGACTGAAGCTTAAAGAGCTTATTGACCACATCGAGAGGTGTGGAATAGGTCGTCATTGAAATGCATTGTCATTGCGGTGCGGTACATTTCTGATGTTAGCGCGGCTCGTGTTAATTCGTATTAATGTCCGATAATTTTGCGTTGCGATGGATGTACGTGCACGCTCTCTGTGCTCTCAGGCAAAAAATTGGATTCATTAAGAAGACTGAGTAGCTGGTTGAATTTCTTTGGCCCCAGTGTTTCAGGTCAGCGAGTAATGTGACGAGATGGAGAGAGGGTCCTGGACAGGAGGACGGGGGGTAGGCCTGGACGGAGATTGAGGAGCAAGAACAACCCCCTCCTCCCCCCATCTCCCTCCAATCTCACTCCTCCTTTCCCCATTCTCCCCCCTCCCTGCAGAAAGACATCCCTCACATTGACATACTCCCCTCCACAGCCCAAAACACACTGCGCTTGTGACCGGGGCGACAGAGACACATGACAGTCTTGGGATGACTGTTGGGCAGAGGAGAGATGGCTTCAGGGCATTTTGTTAAGGCTTATCAGTCAGCTCCTTTGTCTTACTGTGTCTCATTTGAGGCGTGAACAATTTGTATTTGTTTACATGCACTAATAAACATACAGCACTGGACATGTGAAGACAAAGGGGAGTTGTAGCATGATGACACTCACACGGTTTGGCATTCACATGTTTGGACAAAAAAGGGTTATAAAATTGTTTACTCCAGCCCTAAACAGAATACAAAACACAAGAGGTTAAACAAATGATTCATCTCTGTTGATTCTCTTTTGCTCTGTGTTTAAACTAAAAAGACCAGAGTCCAGATCTAAATTTGTAGAGAGAATCATAGAAAGGTGAGCGGTCATGTAATTTTATATATATGTATAGATAAACAGATCATAATCAGTGTCAAATAAGTATTGTATTAGTATACTGAAACTAAATTTTCTATGAATACTGGAAAAATGTAAATAAATAAGGCAATACGTTTGACCTTTCTAAAATACTTTATACTTCATATTCATTCATATCAGAATGTGTATGATACAAAATAGTAATATAAAGGAAACTATATCATCTTGTTTTAAATTATTATCCAAACATTGCGTGGTACTAAAATTAATACTGAGCATCAAGCCTTTTTTGTCCGTGTCAAAATCTATTTTGATATTCATTTCTGTTTCACTTCCTTTTCCATAATATCCTCAAATTCTACATGATTGCACAATGTCATTTGCCACTTTGTCAGGTCATTAACAAAACTGATGCATTATCCAAGTCAAAATATACTTTAACTGGATTCAGCTGGGACATTTATAATTTTGGGGCCAATTGAAAATGTAATAACTGTTCCATGTGTCTCCCAGTTGACACAAAACACATTGGCAGAAGTCCTATCTTAGTGGGAGGCTTGCACTTCCTGCTTAACTTGTGACCACAGAGCAGTTTTGGCATTTATAGCCCAGTAAATCATGATGTTGTTTGATGTGCAAGCTGTGTGCTGTACAAGAGGCACCACCAGCCACCCGCTCATTTTCAATACAGCCTTTTACTGCTATACCACAGCACTGATGAAGCACAATTTGGAACAAAAGTCCGACATTTATTGTGCGTTGTGTAGTTAAACAAAGCAATCAATAAGGCTGCTTTTTAAGACCGTGCCTCGTGACTAACAAGTAATGTGAGATGGGATTGGGAACATTTAAATTTGCGTTGTACAGCTTTGAAAGGTCATCGCTGTTATTCAAAGCGAAGTTTGCAGAAGTTATTTTGGATGTTTGTCTTTAGGCAGTTGTGTAGTCTGCGTATTTATGAAGATATTAAAATGGATACGATTAAAGTTTGAACGTTGTTGACATAAACTTCGGATAATCCCTACAAAGTCACTACGATGTAAATTCTTATAAACATTTCAACATTTTTCTCTTCATGTACAAAATTTTAACAAAAAAAAAAAAAAAAACACTTAATGTATGACAATGCCTATATAGTCCATTTATTTATGAAGATGTAAAAGGGAATAAATAACGTTAGAATAATGGATTTGAATGTATAATTTTGCCTACTCTCAAAATAATCTCAGTAAAGTCACATTTGCACATTTTCTCATCATTAGTAACAAAAATTTTGCAAATATTTGTCTAGTTAAGGCATGACACCATTAAAACAAAACTAATAGCTAGTGTTCGTATCAAACCCCAGTGGAGTAGTTTGCATTGCTGATTCAAATATGCATCATTTTTCACCTTTTGAGAACCTAGCACCCATTCTGACCTGACCCCTCGACCCCAAATCACTCATACAGTCGCGCTCCTTTTCTGATCCCACTAATGGTGCTGACAGAAAACAAGCAGGACAAACTGCTGCCAGGGCCGGGGTCATCCAGGGGTGGTTTGATATTAGTGTCTATAGGAATGCAAATGTGACCAGGGAGTTACAATGGACCTAACAGCAACCCGGGACAGACACTGCATCTGGCCCATTAGTCTAATCTACAGGTTACATAATGGGGAATATAATTAGTCTTTGTTTGTCGGTTTAAAGACAAACGCATGTGCCATCTTGTGCAGAGGTAAGGTTTGTCTGGTCAAAGTGAAAACATGGGTGCAAGCAAGGGGCAGTTTAAATGGGGGCTACGAGGTTAAGGGTCACAAGGCACTATTGGGGTCATTCAGCAGGTCAGCAGAAGTAGGTTCATCAATTTTGCCTCATACCTGGATTTGGACCAAAGACAAAAGCTCTTGAATGATTTAGTAAAGTTGAAACAATAGCAGTCGCCTTTAATCATTTAGCTACAGGGTAATTTATCAGAGAGGAGAATGGCCTTTTTATTCTCACTGAAGACAGAAACGTTTTTCACATACCACGAACCCATCAAAATAAATTATGCTTAATGCTCAAGTCTTTTTGTGTTTCTGGTCTTGAACACATTGCTGTTTCAATTTATGTTTTTTTAGTTCTATATGATACATTCATTTGTTTCAAGTTAGTCAACTGAGAGTAGTAGAAGAAAATTCAAAGGAAATGGTTACTATTGCTTGACCTTTTTTACTAACTTCAAAAAAAGAACATGCAGTATTTTTAGTCTCTCGGGCAAGGTTAGTGTATACTTAAAGTGTAGAGCTTTTAGCATCTCCTCTTACTGTAATTAAAGCTTTGGCTGCTGAGGAGGCTGTGGTGTGTGAATGGGGTCTAAATGAAATGTTTCAGTGACACAAAGCAAAAGCACTTTAGAGTTTAGTCAATAGTTGTAAAAATAGCAATATCATGTTTTTTAGAGTACAAGTCTTTGCATTTGATGAAAAGTGCACTGGCCTCTTTCACTTTTTGCCCACATTTTCTGGTCCCATGCATGGGTGAGCTGCTCCTGTGTCATTAGCATGCCTGGAGCTGGCACAGAGTGTGTCCTCTATCGGGACAGGCATCCCCAGCAGGGTGAGCTTGTGCCACCTTCCATATGGCCGGCCGTCATTAGTTTTCTGCTGCCCTGCTCCATGGTAGGTTTATCAAACCCTAGAGTCCAATCTCACCAAAGCCTTAATTCTCCTCTGCTGTGTTTCCCTCTCTCTCGGCCGATTGGATAAGTCACATGTGGTTTCACGACATGAAAGAACAACTGCAGCCTTGAGCAGATGTTGCACTAGGGCCGCACTGAGCACCAAACTAACTTTCACAAACAATGTCCAGCTGCTGGTAAAGATGTAGCCAATATAACAAGAACATAGACATAAATTAAATATCAAACTATCAATCTATTACTGTTTCAAATAAACTACCTGTTTTTTGATTTATTAGCATTGTTAGCAGTGTGTGATCTGTAATATCTCTATATATGTAAATCCAAATCAAGTCAAAAGTTGTATACACTTTTTTATTTTGTAAGATGACCAATATTTTCATATTCAAGTGTGTATGAAAAAAGTCACTGTTTTATTAAAAAGCTAAATACAATAAGCATTGGATCAAGGCACATACAAGACTGGCCAAAGGGCATACAATGCACTTTGGTTTTCAATTGTAAATAACAGTTAACTTCAAATTGTGGCAACATAATGTGTTCAATTGGAAAACAATACAAAATAATACTCATACCAAGAAGTTGCTGACACTGTGGTAAGTCTAAAATACGCCAGTGTGTCTGTTCTTTTGGCCACTGACTACAATGACGTATGGTACATGGTACTAAAGAATGCCGCCATTGTCAGTGAGCCATTGTTGGCTTGTATAAATTGTGTGGAGGGTCTGTGACAGTCTTCTGGTTAAGGTTGTGTGCTTAAATGTGTCCTGTGCTGTGGCCTGCAGTCCTACAGAAACACAGGGGCCCTCTGGGGTCACTCAGCTGCATTTCTTTGCCAACAGATAATCCACACTTTGAAGAAAGCAGAGAAATAAAGCATGGCACCTCATCTTTAGTGTTTGTACTACATCCCAGGTGAATCAAGCCCAGAAGTACATAGAGACAGCTATGGCTGATCGCTCTAAGAGGGCAGCATGCCTAAATGAATTCAATCAGCTGTGCCTTAGTTTAGCTAATTTTTTGCTTTTTTGTTTTTAGACAGCCAAAAACTTAAAAGAATGACCTGTGCTTATACTACAAGGTTTTCTAGAGTCTGATTGTTCACCACAGCAATGAAAACCCACTTTCACAGTTGACAAGTCATATCTCAGTAGAACACAGAGTTTTCTTTAAGTTGGTTTATCCTTAAACAAAGTAAGTACAGTACAAATGACTACAAATTCCTAAAATATAGAATTGCAGTTAGTTACAACACCCACTGTTGGCCTGAAACAGGAGCCTTCTCATTCGTCATAAATTGTCCTTAAATATAAATTATATGGCAAATGTACATTTCTAGTTTTATATATCCAGTGTTGTGTAAAAGTCTCTCCACGCATGAGCAGTGTCCATGTTTAAATATCATGAATGGGAATGATCTGAATCTGGTATTCCACTGTCTCTGTAGCTTCTGTTAATACTGTTCTCACTGTGTGGGCTTTTGTATAAACTCAGGCCGTTTGGTGGGAATATTGTGTGTATCATAAACTCCTCCTTAGACACCGGTAAGTGGCTAATAGGAATCATCTGAAAAGAAGTCTCTCGTATTTCTAGAATGGAATTGTCCTTCTTGGTACCGGCCTCTGCGTAGTCGTCCTTTCTCCTGCGGCCTTTGTTGTAAGTGCAGTTTCTTGAGAAAAGTGAACCGTTCCTGTGGACATACCAGCACACCAAAGCCAACATAATTATTGCCAAAAGAGCTACGGCTCCCCCAATAATAGCAGCCAAAGGCAGACTGGAATTTTTGTAAGGCTCCTTCTCCTGCTCCCTGTTTAAAGTGGTCGTGGGGTTGTAGGACTTGTGATATCCGGTCTCTGTCTCTATGCAAACAGGGGTCTCGTCTGACAGGTAACTGTTACTGGTCTCCATGGGAACCATGCATATCCTATAGGAAGACTCTGGCTCCAGCCCAGTGAGCAGGTATTCGGTCCTCTCACCCTGCACAATGGTCTCTGTGATGGAGCCAAAAGACGGGCTGTGTCCCTGCTTGAGCCAGCTGAGCCGGAGTGCAGTCACAGGCTGCGACAGCTTCCATAATATGTGAATGGTATCAGCAGTGCTGGACTTAACACTGATGGTGATAATCTTTCTGCCTGTGGTCGTCGTACTGTGATAGTTCCTTCCAAAGTCTTTTCTTTCGGGCCGCCTCGTCACAAAAGCGGGTCTGTGAGGCTGTGACGGCCTCACAGTATTTGAGACAGTACTTGTTTCAAATGTTGACAGTAATTCTGAATCTGAGCATTCAAACATGTCTGTGGTAAGGTCTTTGATGGCCATGCCCTTTACTTTATCTGGTCCATTGCACATGAGGCCTCGTACATTCACCTTGGATGGCAGGGATCGGAGCCAATCACGCACCCACTTCATTTTGCAGGTGCACTGCCAGGGGTTGTTTCTAAGCAGGAGCTGGGTCAGATTGTCCAGATCTTCAAAAACTCCCTGTGGGAGGCTGCTCAGGTTGTTTCCAGACAGATCCAGGCGATACAGCTGCCGGAGGAAGGCAAAGGCTCCAGGAGGGACACTTTTGATGTGATTATCCTGTAGCTGCAGCTTCTCCAGACTGGTGCCCGGTAAGTTGGCAGGAGGCGCTGTGAGAGAGTTTCTTACTATGGAGAGCTCTGTCAGGTTGATCAGGTTGACAAAAGCAAACTCCTGAATCCCACGGTTGTTGAGAAGGTTTCCGTCCAGTACCAGTCTCTTCAGGTTGATGAGGTCCTGCAGCTGCTCTGAAATGGAGGAGATACGGTTGTCGTCAAAGCGCAGCTCCTCGATACTCATGGGAAGACCAGAGGGGATGGTGCTCAGGTGGTTTCTGGAGAGGAACAACAGACGGAGGTGATTGCTGTCCCTAAAGGCCCCCTCCTCAATACTGACGGCTGATACGGAGTTATCATCCAAGTGCAGTTCCTCAATGTAGGGGATCTGGGCTAAGGAGGCATGGGTAATCATGCGAATGTTGTTCTCCTGTAGGTGGAGCTCCTTGACCCCCAGAGGTAGGTTAGTGGGGAATTCGTCCAGATTGTTGCAGTAAAGATAGATCTTTTCCACGTTGGACAGCCTGCGCAGATCGGTGGGAATGCCTGAACTCTTAATTCGGTTGTTTTGCAGAAAAAGCACTGTTGCGTCCTGGGGTAGGCCAGAGGGGATGGACGTCAGGCCGCGGTCATTACAGTAGATGAAGGTCCCGTCACAGCGGCACACAGAGGGACACGAGGCAGAGGTTACCAGGGGGTTAGCTAGGCCTAGCAGCAGCCCCACCCTGATGAGGAACAACACAAAAGCCTCACACTGACGCACCATCTTGAACCTGTGCTTCTTGACAGGCCAATCACTCAGGAGCCCCTGGGGAGAAGACACAAGGGTACATTTAATGCACACGCCTTTAAAGTGGAGCCAAAATCCTGTTCTCATAATTGCTGCATATTTGAAATACTGCCTGTAGCACTTGCTATAGATTAAATAACTGCCAAGAAAATCAAATGTCTGTCTATTAAACACAATTAAAGAAAATATATTTGATCAATAAATTAGATTGTATGACAGATGACTTCAGAACTGGCAGAATGTTTGCCTGCACTGAAGTTTAAACATTAACACTCAAACAAAAGCAGTTGTGTGAGGTGGTAGTGTTCTGATATATCTTTGTGCTAAACTGATCTACAGCCTTGATTTGTGAGATGCAATAACCTTCTCTGGTTTTACATGATTCTCAATCTCAAGGCTTCCTTTCATCGCTACAGACCACAAGTCTCTGGATAAAGTCAGGCATTGTTTCAGAACGGCAGCAGTGGAACCGACACAGTCCTGTTAGATCATTACCTGTCTCTCACCATTCACAGTGCACTACACAGTGACTCACTCTAGCCATTTTAGAACAATGTAAGTTTTAATTGAAAATGTTATCTCAAACTCAACCTATAATTTCTAGTTATAAAGAAGAGGAGTGTGTGTGTGTGTGTGTGTTTACTTCTGTGTTTTAGTGGGTGCTTTCCTAAAACCATAGTCATAAAGTTGTGCATTCCTGTCATAACCTCTCCCTCTGCACATGAGTGAGCACAATAGAAAGCTAGCATTTATCATACCTGCTTTACACAGAGTTGTAATTCCTTTCTTGTCAAAGGCTCCTTGATTTGGCCTTGCCCTTTGCGTTGGAGAAGTTAGTCAGGCGCTTCAGTGATATCCTGACCTGCTCAGTGTTTGCTGAGCTGATCCCTGTTTGGACGATGACCTCTTTCTTGTTGTCAGAGGCTCATTCTTTCAGTGGCTTTACCATGGCAGATAAGCCCCAAAGAAAAAGCATCCGCTTGCTGCCACAAAGCATGCACCCACAGGTATATTAAAAAATCCAAAACGGTTTTACAAAAAAGTTTTACAAGCCATAACTGCGAATGAGATTTTCAGAGATGTTGGAAACGGATCCGTGCGTGGACCAGGCTTGTACAAACTCCTCTTTGTAATCAGGCCCGGTAGGCATGATGAGGTAACACAAAGCTGCACTGAGCCATGCCAATCCCCAAGTCTCAATCCAGGCGTGATCGCTTGTGTACTCCAGGTATCCCAGAATCCTCCCTTCTTCCTGGATGTATACACATTAATCCAGAGCTGTGGTCCCGTTCCCCACTCGAGCAGATAAGTACGGCTCTCCTTCTCTACGAGGCAGCGTGCTTATCGCTCACAACCCCGACTCTCCTCATAGATTTGCAGTGGGGCTCATCTTGGACTTTTTTTTATACCTGCATAAACAGATTAGAAGTATATTTAAAACATGTTCAGGTGGATCAAAATCACTGTAACATAACAAGTTCAAATGGCCCATGTTTGCTTGCAGGCTAAATGTTATTTTTGCTCAGATAATGTCTCTGTGGGAAACCTAACCTTTCGTCTAAATGATTATTGTTCAGATTGACCTTTTACACTGTTACTCCAAACAACACATTTATTTCTTAGTGATTCAGACGATATAACTATGCATTTAAAAGCAAACACAATAGACAAGGGTGGAGGCAGTTCCTGGTTCAATTTATTCAATATATTTTTGCAATTAAAAGTTAACACCATACCTATAGTCACATTTATGTATTTTCTTTGAAGCTGAATTTCTCATTTTTCTCAGTTTTCTCCCGCAAAACCCTCTTTACGCCCCACCCTAACCTTTAACCCCCCCCCCACCCATTCTTTGAAAGGAGTTTGGGTCAGAAATAGAATTTCCTCAGCCATGAGAAAATATTGTGCTTCCTTCAACACAATAGCTCAGTGGCTTACATGTTACCGACTATAGAAACTACTGTGAGGCTGTACGTGGTATATAACATGCAGAGGTAAATTAGAAACAAGGTGCTCCCATATTGTAGTTGTAACACACGACAAGGAGAAGATTAGGAAATTGAGAGCCTTGTAACTCAATTACAACTGCTGAGATGCCAGCTAATACTAACACACCCATTCTTTTCCTTCAAACTAAACACCGCCTTTAGTCCTGTATTATATTAGGAGTAGATTAGAGACGAGCAAAAGGCACCAGCTGTGACCTCTGAGGAGAGGAGCTCACGGTTTGAAAAATAGACTGGCGTAAAATGGCAGCAAAGATGGAGGGATATGCTCTGCCTGCTGAATGAACTTTTAATGCAGCACTTAGACTAGCTACTTCAAATTTTAAATAGCCCTTTTCACCTCATTCGATAAAGTTCTTCTACCTCTAGATATTTCTGAGTGCTTTAAATATTTCATTTTTAGTATTTCAGAAGGGAAAGTTAGGAAGAAGTACGAGTTTTTGTAAGAAAAAGCCCAAAAACATGATAGGTGCCACAGTAAGTTTTTGAATGCATGGCTGCTTTGTTTCCTTTCCACGATCATCAGATTACACAAGTATGGCCCCTTCCCCATTGTGTACAGCAAGCCAAGCAAACGTAGCCAACCACCGTGGTGCAGATGCTAAGAAGCTAAAGTAGCCAATATTTTTTTTCACTGGACATTTCAAATAACAATTGTAATTGTAGCCCATTGGAATGAACAGATTCCAGTTATTGGCAGTATTCTGAGTCTTGCCAATGTGCTGCTCTGCCTGGCTGGATGTTTCCCAGCAGCCCGAGTTCCTTCTGCTTCATTTACTTTTTACTAGCCAAGTTAAATCGAGCATCTCGCTAAATGGTGTGTGTGTACAGCTAGTTACCTTTCACTGACAAAGCTGGACAATGGAAGGTATTGTGAGCAGAACATGCATAAATGAACACTAGCCTTCCATAACAGAGCCTGGACTATTTTGCATTCTGGAAATACTGGGCAGAAATGGCTAAGGATTAACCTGAACATCTGTTTGTCTGTCAAAACATGTAGATATAATGATTTTAGCTCTGTAACATGTAGACTTCACATTGTAAGAGTTGCATTTAAGGGGAAAGAGGCACAGAAGTAGTAATGACTGAGTTGTGAATTATTCATAAGGCTTGAAATTAATTTTTGAACCACCGCAGATCCCCACTGGGAAATCAATGTTGTTTGTATCTCCTGTTGATTATTCACCCTAATTCGTAATGTAGCTTTAAAATGATTATTCATTAGACACAATTTAGTATTTTAGCTCTGACATTTAGGTGACATTTTCCCAGGTTTGTCTTAATGTTTTTGCAAGGGAACATTAAGGCAAATGGAATCTGAAATAACACGATTAAATACATATAACTGTAAAGTGCATTCAGTTTGGGTATGAAAAGTGCTAGTTTAATCCTTCATAATTCTGTGTCACTGTTTCTCATTTGTTTTTGTCTTTAGCTGGACTTTCTCATCTGCTAATTAACATACAGTGTTAGTGAGTTGTATGTCAAAGCAGCAGACAGTGGCCTGCTGTGATGCCAAGACACAAAAGGACATTCATTTGGATCCACAGGGAAACAAGACCACTCAAAACGGGCCAAATCTAACCCATAGCTTCTCAGATTTGGTATGTGCCCTCCTGGTGCTGTCCATCCGTGGACTGAACAGATGATAGTTTTAGCGGGCCCATTAGGGAGAGGGTCGGGCTGAGGCCTGGGACAGACTGGGGTGCTCCTTTGTATACGCGGCACTGAAAGGAGAGCTCCCGAGCAGCTGCAATGGTTTTTGCCCACATGGGGGTGGTAGGCACTGCAAGATGAAATGCTGTGTGCCTGCGTGTGACAAGCAGCTCCAAAACACTGGATTCTGATTTGTTACGTGCAAAAGCCTGGATCTCATCTGAGGGGGGATTTGTTAAGCAGTCCTTTTGGCACGATTTTCCTGAGTCATGTTGCTTTGATTGGCACTGCTTATGCTCTGGATTCACACCTTTACAACTACTGAAAATGGATACTGGAGGCTATGCTTTTGAGCTGTTAGGTATAGTAAAATGTGATACATAGTGGGTATGTTTTTAGTATGTTAGGCTATTACTGTTACCTTATACAAACTAGAATACATTGCTAAAACAACTTTAAAATGACTACAAAAGGTGTTGGTGTGAAATTCACAGTGAAAGCTCCAGATTGACGACTGTGCCCTGAGGCAGCTATCATGGAGGACAATTGGATGTGTTTTCATGTCTGCCATGTCTAACAAGCCCTAACAATAAAGGCCATCACTACTTTGAATCACTATTTAAATCAGGCTTTTCACTGGATGCGTCTGTGGCCAATATGCTTTAACGTGTAAAGCCTGCCGACCTTCTAGTCACAGTGAGACATAAGGTTATGTTAAATGGGATTAAAACGGCCCGTGCCCTGCCCTTGCCAATAAGATAAACAAGCAAAGTAGCATTTACTTTATTGCTTTATAGCGATGCTTTAATGGGATTAATGCGTAGACTTTTCTCCTCCAGGCTAACTCGATTTATCAGCGCGTACTGACATTAAAGTGGGAATGGTCTATCTTATGCACACAGGGTTTCATCTTTCTGCACTGCTCTTGCGTTCATTTCTTGCGTGAGCTGCTCTGTACGCCGTTGTACAATTGTGCATTAATCCGCTATGCTACCACTAATGAAGGAGTTGGCGCGCATAGAAAAACCAAATATACTTTACGCATTTATGGGAAATGCCTGTATTTGTAAGTAACAGTGGCCCAGTGGGACAGGCTATCGCTCTGTGCCAGGATCATTTGGGGGGGACTTCAATGTATAGACTTTTTGGTAAAATATTAAAGCGGTGGGAACTTGAGCGAGCTGATGCCGCAGAGCCTGACTGTGCAGCTGCCCCTCCATGTCCAGCTCTGCGGGATGTGCGCTGCGATGTTCAGATGCACACGCTGGGGAGTCTGTTACGCACAGACCGGAGACCCTCTGTCCCCTAATCCTATCAAGTTTACGCATTTGCTGGCTTTATTTTGCCAACAGGGAGCGAATGTGTAAATGTTATGTGCGCGCGTTTTAATGTGAAAAGCTGAATTTGACGCTCTGGGTGCGGATTTAGGAACATATAGTTTGTTACCAGGGAGCGTTATCTTTTTAGTGTTGGACATGCGTATAACATCGAGGCACACGGCCGACACAAACTGAGGATATGCTCAAATAATCGTGAGACTGGCTCTTGCCTGCAGATCTATGGGGAACGGCTCCGTGCGCAAAGGAAAAGAGCACAGACTTGGCTCTTAGAATAAAGTCCTAAAACGCCTCACAGTGTGTCAGAAGGTGGTCCATACGTCCTGACAGCCTCCCAATATTATCTGTCTGGACCAGGAATTAAAAGGGAAAAAGAGGGCAACTAATTAGCCTACATACAACACATACACACCAGTCGATTCTGATAAATTCCTTTGCTCTGAACGATAGATCCAAAAAAGACGAGAAGCGCGTATTTCCAAATTGGCAGTTCTAACAAACACACTTACCTCTATAATAATCAACCAAAAAGCGTAAAAAAGTAACAGGTATCCTTTTTAAGTGGCATAAAATATAATCCAATCCACGCAGCGGAGACTTGAATTCACATCCAAAAGTGAGCTTTGTCAACGCACTGGAGCTATTTGAAGTTATTTGTTGCTGCTGCAGTGCTCTGTTTACTGGGGTCCCCCTCAAACATACACGGTGTACAAGGACATAGATGCGCTGCCAGATAGAACTCAATACAAATGTGGGCTTGTGCTCGCCTCTAGCTTTGCTTCAACTGGGCGCTGGTGACGTATTCCAGGGGCGGGTCTTATTCGCTCA